AATCCTTCTCGAGACGGATATTCAGGCAGCAATAGCTCCTTCTTAATGTGGCCTTTCTGGGATTTCCACGAAGGTGAGATCACAGTTGCACGTATTGAATCGAGTTATGTCTGAACAGAGGAGTAGGGCCATGTATGACACGGGTAGACTGTGCCTACGCCCACTTTCAGTCGGTTTGAATTTGGTGGGCAACGCACGAATAACTGCTCCGCCCACTCTGTGCGGCACACGGTCGATGACGTCGCCGGTGACGGGCTGTCATGCTAAGGCGTGTCTAAGTCTGTTCTTGGGGACCAAGAAATGACGAAACCACAAAAATCGCCGGTCAATACACTTTTGAGAACGACTGTATTAAAGGCGTGGAGAGCCCGGGTTGCACCCGCTGCGAGGTTCATAATTGTGCGCCTTCTAGCACAAGATTGGTGGTATGAGCCTTTGCCTTAAAGCGTTTGACTGTTCGCTGGATCCGGATTCGATTCTCGAGTTCGTCAGCACTTGGAATTGAGGTGTTACTAAAAGGTATTGACGACTGGCATGCCAAATATAGCCGCTCTCGTGTATATAGTTTTTCACCGGTCAGTCTTTCAGACTGTTCTGCACTGATTGGCTCGAGCCAACGTCTCTGTTTGCGCTCTCCGTCTCAATACAAGTTGCCTGACTCCTTCTGTTTCCTTGGCTCATGAGGTAAGAACCATGTTTCTATTTCCTGCACGCAACCGTGGCAGCCACACCTACGGACTGTTTGGCACAAAATACCGAAACTGGAGGCTACATAAAATGTCTGCTCCTTCAGGACAGAAGGCTACAATAGGCTGACATGCATAGTCCGGGCAGACAAAAACCGCAAATTAAGTGCCCGCTACTTGTTCAACGTTCAACGCGCAACTGAAAAGCTAGAAACAAAATCCGTTCACGTCCCTGAGTTGTTCAAATACACGCATTGCAGATTCGAGCATCTGGATTAAATGATCTTGCCCAATTGGTTTAACTAGCGAACTTCCCAAGAGCCTTGAAGGCTGTCAAAATTAAATATTCATACTTTGTATCACGTGAGCTGCGTGGGTAGAGTGCGTATCCTATCTACTCTTTTCGTAATCAATGATAACACCAACTTACTGAGACCGAAGATACTAATTCCTCTGTTTTCTAACTATACTTCACATACTCAATTATTCGGGTTAGCGAGAGGAAAGTTCCCTTCGAAGGACAGTGTCGGCAGAACCTCCACGACACGGTCCCTGAATGCCGCCCATTTGAGGGCTACGATGGGATAGACAGGGGGTAATGACTGGTTTGCGAGGTGGAATCATTAAATTTAAGGGATAATATACAACGAACCGCAAGGCACCAGTGAACGAAATGCAAGCGGGTTACATTAGGCAGTAGCGGTAATGAAAAACCTGAGAAAGTACACCCATTTTTAGTAATAAATGTCCTACCCCGAATTTAAACCCTTGGAATGCATCCGGTATATCACTCCACCATCTAACAAAACTCCATTTTTTGGGTCTCTCTGAAATCAATGTGAAGTAAAACTATCCAAAACGAAGTCTTCCTGGCAAGTCAAGACAATGCTTCCACCTGTGAGCGGGAGTGAAGTCCGCAGACATTCCGGGTGCATTGCATTGCGAATCCTCGAAACACTCCATTCGACAGTTCAACCATCGGAGTTCGTGTGAGTGAGGCGAGAGTGAGGGACGTAGTATGTCGAAGCAACGCTTCAGCATCAGGTGGTTGGCCGGCTCGGACAGTAGGGAAGAGAGGCGGACTCCGGGAACTGGGTCTCCTGGTACTCAGTGCATATTCCTCAATATAAAACAAGCTGACAAGCTCGGAATCTGTATTTGACGTCTAACGCTGCTGTGTCCGAAGTCCTTGTTCAAGGCCAGCTGCCTCAAGATCATTCACATTCACAGTGAGCGAGATCAGACTAGCTGACCTGTAGACATTTGATGGACTTCCAATTGGACCCCTACTTGCGTCCAGATAGTCACGGCTGCAGAGGCGCTACTAGAAAACGCTATCCCTCGGCCGACGCAGCATAATCCACTAGACAAGACACTCCCCGGGTGGTACAACATACACCAGGTGGACACCATTTGTATTAGGAGCCAGCCTAACCGATTCGCTTGCAGGTTGACCCGACGAGTCGCTCTTGTGACGGACAACCAACAATGTTTCGGCTTCTTTGTTCAATGTGAACTGCCTCAAGGCCATGTGTCGTCACAGGCAACTGTTCCTACTCGCTGACCTTAAACCGCTTAACCGACACTCACTCGCACACACACATGCTCCCACGCGCATGCCCAAATATTTGCAGTTTCTCAAGAGGCACTCGAACGCGCCAACCTGCGGCCACGCAGCAAGGCACCTCAATACTTGACACCCCTCGAGCAATGTAATACACCAATAATGAAATACTTGAACTCGCTTCACAACCACTTAAAAGCAACCGTCAGATCTCACACAGGAAACTCGCAGACACTCTTAGGCGTGAACGGACACAGTACACACACCAGCCCTGGCTTTGCCAGCGGCCACTGCTCCCTGAGACAGCAACGCCGGGTCTTGTGCACAATAAAACCCTCGCTGTGGTGAGTTTCACTTTTGCGCCCTTGTCGTTGTGTTCCTCCTCGGGGATTCAAACAGGGCATAATTAGACGGTGACATCTCGGCTTTGTTAACACGACAACTATTTGGACTT